CCCCCCGCCACCTTCCTCATTCCTCTGTTATTAAATTAATTATTATTTTAAATTATCTAACTTTAGATAATTTGATAATCTAATTATTATCAAATTATCTAAATTAGATGCCACACATTAAATAAATTTGTTTCACATTATTGCTTACCTGCGATACTCTTGTAGCGATGGAGGACACTTTGGAACCCATCTGGCGGTTGCTTTCAGCGGATGTCAAAGAAGTGGCCGCCGAAACAGTACCAAACAAGGGCAATCCTGGCATACTCCGAATCGGCATCCTCGATAAAACGCTTGTTTCATTGTCTTTCTCGTTCCAATGTCGCCTGTGTTCGGAGAACTTGCCCAGATACCAGCCTCCCAAACCCACACTGGTCAGGGCGGTCAACGTACACGCTACTTGCCTTATACCATTCATGTTTTCCTTATATTTTGTTATAGTAGCATCTGCGAGAACGAGCTCTCAACGAGAAAACGCATCCAAAATGCACTTTATAATACGAGGTTAGAATCACATACATAGGAACTGCGCGAAATCGTGAAAAGGATAAGTACACGTTATTGTTGATGTATTGTATAATAACATACGGGGTGTCTCGAATATATGCATAAAGACAATTATAAAACTTATATGCCTATACATGTGTGTGTGTGTGTGTGTAAAAATATCTATAAATAAAATTTAAAAAAATATTCATGTATCATACATTTAGCAATATACTATAAATTAATATGTATTCATGAAAGAAAGATAAAAACAAATTATCCTGTTATTTTCCAAATGAAAAAAAAAATATTATTAATCACTCATGAAAATCAATTAAATAAATAATTTTTTTTTAAACAAAACATTATATTGTAGTTAATTGCCTAGAAAGTCTAATGTTATGAAATTACTCAGTTGTAATATTGAGCAAATTGATTTTTTGAATTGAATTCCAGTTTGCATACATATATAATATATGTGGAGATATACTTCAATCGCTATTATTCTCGTCAGAGTCTTCTACCAAGATAATATCGTGACCAGGTAACATCCGAGGATCAAAAGTGTTCTGAAAACATTTCTGGAACACCAACTTGGCTCTCTTGGCTGCCTGACGTAACGGCGGCGGTGAATGCGGTACACTCTCTTCCAAGTCTATACACTTTCCTGCAGTCTGCTCTTGCAATTTGCAATCCTCTTCGTCGCTTGCCGACTTTCGTTTCGCGATGTTAGAAAACACCGAATTCACCAGTTTCCGCTGGTCATCCGGAATCTTTTTGCTAATCACCGAAGACGTTGCATCGACAGGATTAAGCAGCGAACGATTCTGTTTCAAATTTCTCTCTTGGGCACTATTTATAGAATTATTCGCTTCCGAAACAATGTTTACAGAAGTCTGGGTGAGCGTCTTGTCCATTTGATTCGTCATTTTCTTTGGTTTATTCTTAAATGTATTATTGACCGTAAGGTCGGCAGGAAGAATGGACTTCTTAATTTGATTTGAAGATTTATTGATGCGTTTGGATATGCTTCTCGAAGAAACACTTTTTTTTCGAACAGGTTGCACTTGTCTGTTGACGGTTGACGAATCCGATTGACTATCACTATCCGGACTCAGAGTTGACAACAGCAAATTTGCCTCAAATCCCTGATTCTTCAATGTAAGCAGCATTGGTCTGAAAAATATTATATACAAGATCAAAAATTTATTTATTAGAATATTTATTTATTCGGAGGATATACGCACACACAAACACAAAATTATATTAATATATGAAATCAACATTTATATAAAATCTAAAAATATTAGGGAACATTTATTTTGGTAAAATTATTATTTAAAATATATTAATGTATAAAGTACAGTTATATTTTAATATAAACATTTTCTTTTTCAATATAATTATCCATTTAAATAAAAAAATATGCTAAATAAAAGAGTTTAATGCGTATACTTTAATGCATACCTTCCTGCTGTCTCAAAATTTATATTGATTGGGATGCCTATGCTTTCGCTAAAAGTGAGTAATGCTCTGACTTCTTTCAAACAAAATGTGATGGTTGTCTCATTGCCCATTATGTAGCGATCAAATTCCCCAACACCAAAGGCTAATTGGGTGCGCGTAGTATTTACCATAACTGTACAAAAAAAATCAATTAACATTACTCAAGAGTAAAAGTAAAAACTAAAAACAATAGTCCCGTTATTAAATTATTAAATAATAATTCAATAATTATTTCATTCTATTTTTGTGTATAATGTTGTATCGCATCACTGAATTGTTGATTGTTTGTTGATGTGTATTAACTTATAAGCAGCATATTATTAACTAATTTTTTAATTTTTTTTTTTTTTTTTTTTTTTTTTTTTTGTTATATTATATCAAATTATATTTTACAGATTCATACAGTGTGCCAAAAGTTGCACACTTGATTTACCTGATGCATCATCTACATAGTTCCTAAGAAACAACTTGTGCAGCGTAATCTCAAGTGTTATTTCAATCAGATTTTGTGGAAAATTTTGCAGAGCATCCACCAACGTTCGAGCCCGCGATGTCAGTTCGTTGGTCATACCAGCTTTAGTGTACGATGCCTATTCAATTCACACAACTTTATTAGAAAGATTAGCTAGACATCATAAAAATTTAAGCCTAGGATACATACAGCATTCTTTTCCAGTATTAAAAAGCTATATCTATCCAAGTTTTCAAAGTATAAGTACTTAAAGATATTAATTTACTTGAATATATCAAATTATTCTAGCTTTTAATATTAGATTTAATAAATTTTGAACTGCACGAGTTTTGCACTTAAAGTCAAGCGTAATGAGAAGAATATTTTCAGTGTACTTGCAACTTCTCAGGATCCAGGATGGGTGACAGATGGGACTTGTTGACACCGTTCTTATATTTCAAGATAAATACTAGATTGCAGGAGTCTACCTCTAAATGAATGTGACAATTTTCCACTTGTTTGTCCAATGTATGCGCAGATTTAAAGACAGTCATAGCACTCTGCAAAAATTACAGAATAAATATTAAATATTTAAATATATAACGTTGAAATAAAATAATAGATATTACTCTCATCGAAATTTTACACTTTTGTGCCTCTTCTTCTTCAATATCTCCAAGTATATAATAAGAGAAGAAATTTTTGTGGAATGTAACATCAGAATATGCCGATTTTGCCATATTGACTGTACGAAAGGATATAAATTCCTGTTGTGGATTCACATACATCTCATCCCCAATCTTTGCCAGCATATGTATCGCCTTTGCCAATACTATCAATCAAGAAGTATTAATTAACAATTAAACAAAAGCTTTACAAAATTATTAATCATTTAGAAGAAATTTTTTATATTCTGATATATGTATTACATTAAATTATCCAAAAGATTTTATTTTATTTGAATTATAAGCACATGTATAACGTATATATATATATATATATTTGTAAACAATATCTGGAAAGGAGAGAAAACGTATATCAATAAAACAAGCAATAAAGGAAAAATTTAGATACGTAATAAATAATTAAGTTAAATTATAGAAAGAACAGCGATATATTTTTTGCACTACACACTATTAGTTTGAGAAAAATATAACCTAAAGTAAAAAAAATTAATGACGTACCCTTGACATTTCCCCCAGGTACGATGCATTTCATATTGATAACTTTATTATTCCAAGTAAAATCGATATTTGTAAAATAAAGTTTTCTTTACTTATAATGATTTTCTGGGGTAAAGGAACTGCGAAATTCATACTTTTTCGCGCGATCATAAACGCAAAAATTATAGATTGTTCGGTGCAATTCAAAATTCAAATCAAAATAAATAACGCCATAGATGATATATTGGCTGTGATCGGGAAGGTGCTAGAAATGCTTCGAAGCGTTTAATTGATCAATCAAAACAAAAAGAGTAAAGATTTCTCTATTCTGATTGGTTAATGCAATGCTTCGAAGTATCTCTAGCGTCTTTTCGATCGCAGCCTATGCTATGCTGTGTTCCGCTAACCGGACTTGGTGAAATTGGCCCTAAATCACCTATTGTAGACCGGCACTTAAAGTTTAACACTAGGATTACAATGCTTTTGTTCATAATGCCATTATGAACAAAAGCATTGTAATCCTAGTGTTAAACTTTAAGTGCCGGTCTACAATAGGTGATTTAAGCCCTAAGCCTTAAGAAATTGACTAATCACAGTCGAGTATTCTCCTCATACTTGATTGGGATTGGTCAATTTTTTAAGGCTTAAGGCTTAAATCACCTATTGTAGACCGGCACTAACTGTTAATTTATGCCGGAACCGTTAAAGTTTAACACTAGAATTACAATGCTTTTGTTCATAATGGCATTATGAACAAAAGCATTGTAATTCTAGTGTTAAACTTTAACGGTTCCGGCATAAATTAACAGTTAGTGCCGGTCTACAATATGTGATTTAAGCTCTAAGCCTTAAGAAATTGACTAATCACAGTCGAGTATTCTCTTCATACTTGATTGTGATTGGTCAATTTCTTAAAACCCGTATCAGACTACGCATTGAAAATTGAAGATTGAAGATTAAAGATTGGAATTTGACCAATTAGAACAAAAGGGACTAAAATTTCTTTATTCTGAGTGGTCAAATTTCAATCTTGAATCTTTAATCTCAATCTTCAATGCGTAGTCTGATACGAGCTTAAGGCTTAGGGCTTAAATCACTTATTGTAGACCGGCACTTACGGCCTGCATAAACTAGCCTTAAGACTGCGTGCGCATTCGGGCAGACGTCTGCGCGAACGCAATGACGTCACGATGGTGAAAGCGTTACTATTGGTTAAGAAGGAACTGGCGATCAGCGCTGCCAGTTCAAGTGGAAGACTCGCGAAGGAAGAAGGGGAGTACGCGGTAAGCCTTCCACGCGTTAAGGAGCTCTAAGCTATTTTCGGTTAGATACCGCTAGTAAGAGTTCGCGTATTCGTAACAACGTTATATTGTGTTTTACAAATATACATATATATTTATACAGCATACAAGCTGTAATTCTTTAATAATCCATGCTGGAAAACCTCCCGTTATTTAAGCCTCTCTTAATCCTGACATTCAAGAGATCTCTTTATCCTGGATAACCTTCCAGTGGATCCTTACAATAGTATATGTCACGTATACTATAATATCGGGTGCACTCGTGTGGGGAATCGGAACACAGCCCTACATGCTACCTTAGGGCCAATTTCACCAAGTCCGGTTAAGGGCCAATTTCACAATCACAGTTGAGTATTCTCCTCATACTTGACTGTGATTGGTCAATTTCTTAAGGCTTAAGGCTTAAATCACTTATTGTAGACCGGCACTTAGGCATAGGGTGCGTTCCGTTTCACGCATTGAGCGCATAGATCGCCTGTAAATCTATAGTTCATATAACATATATTATAGATTTCCAGGCGATCTATGCGCTCAATGCGTGAAACGGAACGCACCCATATATAAATGGAAGGGGAATGCTTTTGTTTCCCGATAGAAAAACATGTCAGAAAGAAGTGAGAAAGAAAATCATAGTTGTCTCTCTCTTGTGAGTAATTGCTCAAAAGTGCGCATGCACGGTTTTGCCGGTTTGGCCCAATGGAAAATAAGATTACATTAGTCACATGAGTGTGTACACAAAAGTATGTATACTACAGACACGATGCTTGATATGTAGCAAATGGCGGCATGCGCAACTTTCGAGCAGTTACTCACAAGAGAGAGGCAACTATGATTTTCTTTCTCACTTCGTTCCGACACTTTTCAGCCTGCTTTTCCCCTTCCATTTATATATGTTCTAAGGTTACCCCTTCCACTGCAATCAGCAGTCCATTCTTGGACTCTAGTCGATGCATGCTACTCTCTTTTTTTTAAAAGATTATTTGTTTGTATCCTCTGGTTTGACGTTTCTCTGCCTCTTATCTCTATGTGATTCTTTATAATAATTATTGATATCGAGGAGATTTTAAATATCGGAATATATTAGTATATAAGGATTAATTAAAGGAAATCATGGTAAGTGATGCAAAATTAATTTGTAAATTTGCTAAAAACCAAAATATAATTGTTTTAATAATCTAACCTTAAAATAAAAATGGTTTTATACTTATCTCGTATGCTAGGATGATTAATAGTGTTTCGTTAAGAAATAAGTCTATACATGTATATATACACATACATATGTGTGTGTTTAATAGTCACCAAATATCTTATAATATATTTTTTCTTTTTTATTTCTTTATTATTTAATCATCTGTTTGGGATAAAATCTTAACAGTGTATATATATATAAATTTCTTTTACAGTTTTTCACTGAAATATGTATATTTAACGAAAATTACTTAATATGATTCATAAATCTTCTAAAATGATTTAATTTAAAAACAGATATTTTTACAAAAATGAGTTTTTTTGCAGCTTGTGTTGGTACTGGGCGACTTGCATATTCCACACAGATGCAGCAGTCTTCCAAGTAAATTCAAAAAACTGCTAGTACCTGGTAGAATACAACATATTTTATGCACTGGCAATCTTTGTACAAAAGAATCCTATGATTATCTCAAAACACTAGCCAGCGATGTACATGTAGTTAGAGGAGATTTTGACGAGGTATGCATTATTTCAATAATAGCTTTTTCTTATTTATATGAAAATAAAAAATATTTATACAATATTGAATATTAAATATATATATATATATATATATATATATATATATATATATATATATACATATATACACATATACATACATGTATAATTAAATAAATTTACAAATGTTGGAGTTAAAATATATAGTTGTTAAGATAAAATATATTTAAATTGATTAAAAAGAATTGCGTCTTTAAAAATATAAATAAAATGTGTATAAGAAAAAGAGTTTTACTTATTACAGAATCTAAATTATCCAGAACAGAAAGTAGTCACTGTGGGCCAGTTCAGAATTGGGCTTTCCCATGGGCATCAAGTGGTGCCATGGGGTGATCCCGAATCTTTAGCACTGATACAGAGACAATTGGATGTTGATATTCTGATATCTGGTCATACTCATAAATTCGAGGCATACGAGCATGAAAATAAATTCTACATTAATCCTGGATCAGCTACTGGAGCTTATAATCCTTTAGACACGTAAGGCTAAAAAGTTTTAGAAGAAAGAAAAAAAAGTTCTATACAAAAGAACTTCTCTACAATATATAAAGATTTTATACAAAAGTATCTCTTTTGTAAAAACAAAAAGAAACTTAACTTAACTATTTCTTTAACTATTGTGATTTTTTTTTTCTTTAAATTTATAATTTAAAGTACTTCCCGAAAAAAAAAAAAAATAAAATAAAATAAAAGACATTAGGGAAATATAATTTGTGACAACAATTAATTTAATACAAAATCTTGTTTTAATTTTCATTATTTTTTCTTCTTTTTTCAGATCAGTCATACCATCGTTCGTATTGATGGATATTCAAAGCTCAACAGTGGTCACTTATGTGTATCAACTGGTTGGAGATGAAGTCAAAGTAGAGAGAATTGAATACAAAAAAAGTTAGAGTCAATGGAATTTTCAGTATGCGTCTATCATTGCGATTATATCCGGAATTCAATAAAAATGCGCATAAACATGTAATATTTGCAGGGCACTTGCAATTCACTCCGGATTAATTAATTAATTAAATAAGCATAATTAATGAATCGTATATTTGTTGTAAATAAAATAATATCGATTATATATTATGTGAAATAGATTTTCTCTTGGATTTAAAATGAATTAGTAGATGAAGAAAAAACCTAAAGCAAATCCTAAAAACTGCCATTAATAATTGAACAAAATTTCTCTTATATGTAGGGTGTACAAAAATTCGTGGTACGATCTTTGCCTACATGTAGGACTCGTCAAAATAAAAAGGTCTGGAAGGTGTTTTGAATACTCTAATCTATTTTATATAATTTTATCATTTTTCTATAGAATTTTCTCTGTATAATGTTTAATATATTCTAATCTCTTCATTTTTTACATACAATATTCCGCAATTACACGCATTTATGCAATTGTGATTCAATTCTAACTTCTAACTGATTAACCCATAAATCATGTATATCACCTGTATTATGCACATTTGTATGGTCTAATTAGCTGGTTTATAAATTTGTTTTTCTTTGCATCTGTCTGCTATTTACGAACGACGATAGGCGAGTTTGCAGAAATTTGTTACTTTGGAGTATGATTTCTTTATAGTGGATCAAATATTTTTGTAGCCTATATAGTAAATATAAAAAAGTGACTATAAAATTTTATAAATTTGTCCTATATATATATATATACACCACACACACACAACACCAGCGGTATTTTTTCAAATATGAAAAAAATAAAACATTACCTTCATACTTAAAAAAATTAATGGAAAATAAAGACATGCCAAATTTATTAAGAGATAGTAATAATATTTACAAATAGTATCAATATAAATATAACTCTGAAGCAAAAAATTAACTATCCTTTAATCACATTTTTGTAACAAATAAGAAACGTCATTCCATAATAGAACATTCTTACAAGAATATTATTTCAATCGAAGAAAAATATTTATTCAATCTCTAAGATAAACATTCATAAAAATTAATTTATAAATTAAAAAGGATAAACGCTTGTGTATTTGTATGTGCACGCGCACTTGTTATTTTATTATTTTCTAGATTTCCTCAGAAGGGTGAACCCTTCGCCACTGAACGCCTTAAATTCGTCTGAATCCTTCATCTATAATAAAACAATATTATATCAATCATATATTCGCACACACACACACAGAATAAATTATCATAAAGATAAATTTCTCAAAGTACAGTGGCGTGCAAAAGTTTCCGGCCAGTGACATTTCGTATTCTATATATAATTTATTAAAAAAAACCTAATGACTTTTTAACCATTATCAGGTGCGAGTATAATATATAGGAAACAAAATAATATAGTGAAAGAATATTGTTTATGTTTGTGAAAGTATTTATAGTTATAATTGTTATATTTACAAAAAATATCACTGGCCGGAAATTTTTGCACGCCACTGTATACTAAAACATGTGTAAAATTATTATAATTCAAAATAATTACTATATATTAAATCAAAAAGTTTACATTTAGTTTTATAATTTCAAATATTGTAGATTGTTGTGTGATTTAAATTATTACAAAGCAAACTAGGTGTGAGAATGTATAGATTATTATTTCAGCTTAAAATATAAATATATAAATTCATCTATATATATGCAAGATGTTCATATTTTATCATTTAAATCTAACTTTAGTGATTACCTCTTTATTATTTATTGGCTTCATGTTGCGCAGAAATCTGAGAGTGCCTATCTGATAATCGTAATCGGGTATTCCTCGAACATAAGTCGGTTTAGCAGCCAAAGTTTCCTGCTTGGGTGTGTCTTTGCGCTTCTTGCCGTCCAACCGAACGCCCTCACCCTTGAAAGGCACAAAACCAGTTGGCGCCGGCATCAAATCGGCCAAATCCTCCATCTCGTTTTCCTCCTTTTTTATCTCTCTCTTTGGTTCTTTATAACCAACTGGCGGTGCAAACTCTACATTCATATCACATTCAATGATACTAACTGCCGAACCAGGTCTGGTCTCAAGAACACACATCTCGTAAATTTTTTGATTATATTTGATAGCGACTAAGTCGCCTGTAGTCAGACAGGCAAAACTGCGTAGACCGTTCTCCAGCACAGCCTTTGGATTTGTAATGTCTAGGAAGTCTTCCGACTGTGGCTGAAACCGCGAGAACGTTGCAACTGGTAACGACACACTCTCTACATTTAGCAGCTCACCTTCTTCCAATAAAAGATTATGCATCATCTATGAGAAAACAGTAAATATTATTACATATAATTATTTTAAATTTATTATATTGAAATTGCTATAAATGTGTTATATATTACTGATATATTATAAAAAGTTATAGGTGCTAGATAAAGGAAATATTTTTCATTTACTCTTTAATGGTAATTGAGACACAAAATTTCAAATAATACTTTTATTGTAATTTGATAACAGTCTTATCACAACTTCAAAAGTGAAATTTGTATCGCTTACTTACCCAGTAAGGTAAATAGACTTTGCCTTCATCGGCGATAAACTCCAGCACACCACAGTGAGTAATTCTATTTGTTTTCTTATTGGTCAATTTGAACAACATTGGATAAATAATATTAAGCCTGGTGAGTTGTTCCAGAGCGGATGGTGGCATGATTACTGAAAAATAAAGGAATCAATGCAAAATTTTCTATTTATTCTCATACAGCTGGCAGTCTCTACTGACTTTTGCCACCGCGCTCGACATCCTGACGGTAGGTGCCGGGTAACATCGACACCGAAAAGCATTTGTATTGAGTGTTGAAAGGGCGTGGGATCTCCGGAAACATGTTAAACCCGAATTGAAACTGAAAAGTCATTTTAAGTAATAAATCATTCACTTCAATCTATCTGCTTAAAAAAAGTTAAAAAAAAACAAATTTCGTCAAGATTTATCTCATCTCAATAATTATCTTTCTCCTCGAATCTTTCTTACCATATTTGCAATTAATTTTCTTGACAATGTTTTATAAAACTTTTGTTATATGGGAACGATATAAATTATAGCGTTTTCGAATGAACGGGTTAATTCAACCCGGATCAATTAAGCACTATATTTTACTATGAATTTAAGTCTTTTATTGGCTGCATTCCGATATTAACTGTCAGTATTGAAAATGTATAGTTTATGTCACGTGCACTATAGATTTTCAGTACTGGCAGTAAATATTGGAACGCAGCCATTGGCAGAGACGATGCAATGACGTCATTAATCGCTCTGGGAAAGGAACCAAACACCGTACTGAAAACAGCGGATCGTCTGTGATTGGTCGCACAGAAGGAAAGGAACTAAAATTTCTTCGTCCTGATTGGTCAAATTTCAATCTTTAATCTCCAATCTCGATCTTCAATAAGTAGTCTGATACCGGCTTTATGCATATCATATATTTGTTGACTTGTCAGCTTGTCACAAAGCTCTAAGAGTGAATTGTCAAAAGTAACAAATTTTTATTAGCGCTCTAATGCTTTATTTTTTTATTATACTATGTATTATGAGATATATAGTATAATAAATGTATATAAATCCTATAATATTTAAGACAATTAGGAGGGTTAATTGATTACTTCTGTGTATATATGGTGACAAGAGCGATGTCGGCATCAGAATCATTAGCAATCGTGCAATCAAAATTTGTCTCAGGAGAGACTGTCGTAACGGTATTCTTTTCTGAACTTAATGAATAATGGATATATATATATATATATTATTTATCATCATGATTAATGACAATTTACCATTGATCAGAAACTCTTAGAAGTTACATTCAGTCATAAGTAGTTGTCATCAGTAACTTGATATATTATCATCGATAATATTACAACGTCTTAATCATGTAATTGTAGGCTACAGAAGCATTCTTAATACAAGGTTGGATAAAATCTTCAAGATATATTGCTCTCGTTTACAAAGGTACGACTCATGCTTTAGCAATCTTCCTTGTTTCAAAAACACCTCCACAAGTGTACAGTGACCTTACTTTGGAAGGAATACTGCCTATTGATCAAGATTTTAAATGTGGTATAGGTATCGAGATTTTTCTATATTCAATATCATCAATTATATTTGAATTTTTCATTTTTTGCTGTTTAAATAAATAAATATTTAGTTATTCTATAATTGAATCTCAATCAAACTTGTTGTTTCTTTTAATTACAAAGATACCAATGGACAAGCACAGGATGGTCTTAATATATACATGAATGTTACATCGAGAAAACTGCGTCTGATATTTGAAATGAAACTCGGAGAAGCAACTAGCTCATTAGTGTCGGAAATATTTCGTGCAATAGAAGGTATATGTGCATATGTATCCAATACTTGATTCTTATACAGAGGTCATTCATCTATAAAATAGAATAATTATGATTTCAGTATATCAAACAGGTAAAAGTCCAGCAGCAGAATTTTCATGGATCGAGAAGCTAACAAGAAGTACAAGAAGTTTAGCTTCTGTTGGTAAAGATGTACAGGATGCTGCTGATTGTGTAAGTTAATATATAATAAGAATTTATGTTACATACACACATAAGTAAATTGATTTATAGAATTTCCCTGATAAGAGTTTATTATTTTTATAGTTGCTCAATCTCGAAAGTCACGATTTAGTAGTACGAAGACAAAGCATTGCCTCGGGTAAATCACCAGTAGCTGCAAGAGAGTCAGTGATACGATATCAGATGGCCTGTAAAGAAGATGATTACACATATAGTAAAACATTTCGGTTTGTTCTATTGCATTGTTACAAAATTGTATCTCACATTTTTTTTTATTCGATTTAAGAATAAATGATAAGATTACTGTTAATAATTATAGTATACTGACTTGTACATGGAACGTCAATGGACAGCCCCCAAATGGCATTAAATTAGACCAGTGGTTGAGTACGGACGAATTGCCACCGGATATATATGCTATTGGATTTCAAGAATTAGATTTAAGTAAAGAAGCGTTCCTATTTCACGAAACTCCCAGAGAAGAGGAATGGAGGTAGTGTGTTAATACACATACATATATACATATAGTGTTAACACAGACGCATATGTACACAGAGAGTTATGTAATATATAAAAATAAAAGAAAGAAAAAATTCTGTCTTATAGGCAAGTCATAGTTGATTCGCTTCATCCCGGAGGTGTTTATACCCAGGTTGCTCTTGTTAGATTAGTGGGCATAATGTTGCTGGTGTATGCGCTCGAAACTCATATGCCGTTTATTGAAAATGTATCTACTGATACAGTAGGGACAGGCTTTATGGGAAAGTTGGTGAGAGAATTTTTAATATTTATAATACTTGGAAATTATATAATATTTTTTTTTTCAATATGGCATAAGATATAATGTAATACATAAAATCCTTAATTCCAAAAGATAATTGATTGTGACCCTCACATTTTAATATCCAATTACTTATTCTTATAGGGCAATAAAGGTGGTGTGGCAGTAAGCTGTTGTATTCACAATACGTCCGTTTGCTTTGTTAACGCTCATTTAGCGGCGCACTGTGAAGAATTTGAACGACGCAATCAGGATTATGCTGATATTTGTGCGACATTATCCTTTACAAAATATGTTCCACCCAAAAACTTTAAAGATCACGAGTAAGCTTTTTGTGTATGTCATATATTAGTTATTATATATGCACATACATTAATTATATATATTCATACATTGTATGAATGTATTTGTATATTTCTAGCTTAATTTATTGTTTCTAAAATTTATTACTTATATTTCGTGATATATTAAATCAAATTGATATCACAGTCAAATTTATTGGTTGGGAGATTTAAATTACCGGATAACGGATATGGATGCTGCAGTGGCTAAGCAATACATTTCAGAAGGCAACTACAATCCTGTCTTAGCACTAGATCAGCTTGGACAACAACGCAAAGCAGGGCGTGTGTTTCAAGGATTTCAGGAAGCCGAAATTAATTTTAAACCTACATATAAATATGATCCAGGTACTGACAACTGGGACTCGAGGTATTTTCAAAATTTTATTAAATTGCAATTTCTGTAGGCCTATTCTTTAACTTCGTAACGACGATATCGTTATTGTTACATGTCGTTGCACAGCTGAAACGTATCGGAAAATAGATGCTCAATGACTCGTAACGATAGCGAATTTATCGTTAAAAGTTACAGAATAGGGGTATTGGAATGCGTGTATGTTCATTAGAAATAAAATTCAATTAAAGTGATTTTCTTCTTACATCTGCATCTGATGATATGCAGTGAAAAATGCAGAGCTCCGGCTTGGTGCGATCGAGTATTATGGAAGGGAGATATGATTAAATCAATTAGTTACAAAAGTTATCCGGAACTTAAGATATCCGATCACAAACCAGTTAGTGCAAGTTTTGATTCACAGGTAAATGCATAAGTCCATGGATATTGTTTTTTTCTTTTCTTTTTTATTACTATATACCATGTTACTTAGAAAAGATGTGATGTATATATTATATTATCTAATCTTTCAAAATAGATACGAATTATAGACATGGCCAAGTATCGTAAAATTCATGAAGAAGTCATGAAGAAATTAGATAAATTGGAAAATGAATTCTTGCCCCAAGTAATGGTCGATACCACGGATATTATTTTTGATGTTTTAAAGTTTCTCGAACCTAGTAGTAAAGAACTCATTATCGCTAATACAGGCCAGGTAGAGAATATAAGTGAAATAATTTATATTATGTTATACATACATAAACACGTGCACGCACGCACGATCATTATATTTTATCTTCTGCAAATTAGGTACCAGTACAATTCGAATTCATAAAAAAATTGGATGATACAAGTTACTGCAAGGATTGGTTACACATAGAACCTTATACAGGTTTCATAAAACCAGGTATATATATTTATCGTATGCTTTCTCATGTCTTTGCTAAATTTCCCGTTCTACATTTGCATATTTTTAATTATGTATTTGCTTTTTTCCTTTTTTGCTCACATATAGGTGAAAAGTGCGATATTAAATTGGAAGTATATGTAGACAAGAAAACTGCGTGTAAACTCAATTCCGGTGAGGATAAGTTATATGATATTTTAGTATTACATCTCGAGGGGGGTAAGGACATTTTTATTACTGTAACAGGTATGTCGCACGTAAAATATAGTGAAAAACTATCATTACTTACTTCTACACTTGATAAAGTTCTAAAGGATACGAATCAATGATATTTTCTAGGTACTTATGAGAGAAGCTGTTTTGGCTCTTCTATGGAAGCATTGGTTCATATTTCAGTTCCAATTAGAGAAATTCCTGTTGGGCGGCTAATAGAATTGGTGTATATTTAAAAATTGTTATAATATATCCCTATTAGTTTGAATATTTGTTACTCTGACTTCATTTGTATTTTTATTCAATTTGAAATTGTAGGAGAACAATAAAAATCCATCACAAGAACCATATCCAGTACCGAAAGAAGTATGGCATTTAGTAGACAGGCTATATCGACATGGTATTAAAACTCCAGGGCTTTTTGAAACACCAGGCCTTCATAGCGAGATAATAGCCATTCGAGATTGGTTAGATGAATCAAGTCAAGATCCGATGCGTATCCTTTTCATATTTTAAAATGCTATAATTATATTACATTCCTTAATATTAATATATTTCATATCATTCCTTAATATTAATATATTGATTTTTTCGCCATGTATAGCTGGAGGCATACATTCAGTAGCAGAAGCATTATTATTACTTTTAGAGTCCACAGCTGAACCCTTAATACCATACAATTTGCATAATGTTTGCCTATCTGCTGCAACCAATTATTTTCAATGCAAACAAGTAAATCGAATTAAGAACTCTAACTTTATTATAAGTAAGATTATATTATTACACTCATATCATATCGTTTTGTTTATTCACAGATCGTGATGCAGTTACCTGAAACCAGAAGAACAGTTTTTCTCTACATTAGTTCATTCTTACAAGAGTTATTAAATCATATGCAAGATAATGAACTTGATGCTAAAACGCTCGGTAGTTATTTTTATATTTCTCTTCTATAATTTATATTACTCATATATTTCATCTTTATTTTTTTATCATTTTACCTATTATTCCTCTCATATGCTTTCGCATATTTATAATGGTATTTGATGCATTATTATATTATTTGCAGCCACATTATTTGGATCAATATTTTTGAGAGACCCGCCGAGAAGCAGAGATGATCGTCATCAAAGAAGTCGCGCGACTCAGATTACATTCGATAAAAAGAAAGCTGCTTTTGTTTATCATTTTTTAGTCAATGATCAAAGCGATTTTATATTGGGTCGATAACGTGAGAATCCAAAATTTAATGAAGTATATACTAACAACATTACTTAAAGTTTCTTAGTTTTTAAATAGAGAAGAACTGAAAAAAGATTAAATGCCTAGCTAGCTGACAGTGGTTTTTTTTAGCATTTTTTATAACATATCAAAAATTAAACATGTGCTTCTATTATTTGCTACAGGAGCTACTTTTCAAAGCTACGTAAATAATTCAGTAGGTATGTGTCGTAGATCAAGAAATTATATAAGTGTGTATTAATTCTTGAAAATAAATTATTTATTACATGCACATGATTATATTAGAAATCATATTTAATTAATTAAACCATTTTCCACATATTAATTTAGTATACAATAAGATATGATTTATAGCAAACGAATAAACGCGTGCGAATATTATAAAATATTAGATACTTAACATTGCTTTATTATCAATCTCTTTTCAATAAACTTTTTCATAGAAAAATGCAATAACAGGATAAAATAATGAAATCTATTTATGAATATTTATCAAAGTTTTATTATAAATGTACAAAGTAAAACGTAATAAATAATACTGAGCCTTTTTTTCTTTTTATACAGACAAGTTGTACTGGTTAATGTAATGAATAATAAATCATTACATTATTAAGCTTAATTATGATTTTTTTTCTGTGAATTATCAAAATTTGTTTTTTTTTTTTCCATTAATAATTGTTCATAAAATGATTTGCGATAAAAAATAATCTAATAATAATCCGAATTTATAAAGAAAACTTATCATACAATGATCATTTTTTATACACCTATAAAGAAGGAAGAATTAAATACATGAGAAGAGCTACATATTTTTTTTTTTTTTGTAGTTAATATAATGAAAGCCTGTCTCAAATTATATTTGTATGAGAAAACATTCTATTATCACTCTAAAAATTATATCAATAATTCTGAAGTTACCAATTTACAAAATTAATACATCAGACAATTATTTCATTTATGTCTAAAAATGTCTAAAACATACGATACTTAATTATCTAAATAAAGTTTCATTATATTTATACATTGCTAGAATTCCTTTTTTATAATGATGTATAAAGAGATAAACTCATTCTTTATAATTCTTTAAATAATCAATTTATCTGCTTAAAACGCAAATTCTTTCGCTTTCGCATTTCGTGAATCACTAAAACTTGATTGAATAATTAAACATTGTGTCAATTTTATTATTTTTGTTATAGATCATTATTACTATTATGGACAGTTATAATAAATCAATAATCAAGTTTCGTATGTATTTACAAATTTTTCGACTTACAATATTTCATTTCCAGATGCAAAGATATACATGTTCAAAATTTAAATTCATCTGTTGGTGCGTTCTCCATTACATTAAATTCAAGTTGTCCCTCATCATTCTCTTTAGAAGTAAGTGTCATTTCTTCAATATCCTGGGGAAAAAAAAAAAAAAAAACTTTTTTTTTTTTTGTTTGTTTTCATATACAAACCTTTTTTTTTCTTTTCATGTACAAACCTTTTCAGAGAAAAACGTATCAATCATAGCCATAGATTTTTGATAAACTTGCTCGTTCTGATGATGTTGAAGAGCTTCTATTTTATCTAATCCTCCAACTTCTTCTATCATAATAGCAAGTCGATCCACTTCCCCCATTTTTTGTGCAGCATGCAAGATATTAGTTAAGCCATCTAAGACGACAATAATAATATTCCAATCTTTTGCTTCCAATAAATTACAGAAAGGTGGCAATACACCCGCCTGTATTAATTCAGCCAAATTTTGGATTGTCCCGCCCGATGTCAAGTTGGTTATAGCCCACGCAGCCTCCTTTTGTGCCTTAAAATCTCCCTAAGAAAAATATATCATAGACACATTTACCAATGAATTCTCTTTAGAGACATTTATTGAAATATATCTTTTTCTGATTATTTTCTATATATGTATAAATATACTTACAAACTGAAGAACGTTTATCAATGATGGCACCAAACCAGCATTTATCACTTGTTGAATTTGTTCTGTATTACCAGCTGTAATATTACTGATCGCCCAAGCAGCTTCCTTCATGATGTTAGCACGATGATGCCGTAACAAGGCACCGAGATGCGGTAATCCTCCTGCCGAAATTACAGCATCCGTTTGAATATCATCACCTGTCACTATATTTCCAACTGCACGTAATGCCGGAGTAAGAATGGTTCCTTCCTTTGATCTCAACAAGTCCACGAGTTTAGGTATAATGCCAGTTTCTAATATCGCTTGTATTTTGTCATTCGATCCATCGGTAAGGTAAGAGAGTGCCCAACAAGTATCGGCTAAACATTACAAACAGTAACATAAATATCTTATTCAAATATGGGATTGATTTTATAATATGATGCAATCTCAATAAAACGTGCAAATGTCTTACCAAGTACTTCTGTATCTTCATGGCTAAGTAGACGATTAAATACTGGGAGAGCAGGTTTGATCAGTTCAAAGGGCGGAGGTGGATTCTTATTTCGACATAAATTAGATATAGTCCAAACGATGTTGCGCATAAATGTCACCTGTGTGTGTTACCATTGAAAATATTAGCATATTAAAATATAAATGTGTTTAATTATAATAGAAAAAAAAAAAAAAAACGATTTAGAGATTTAAGACTCAATTTCTTATGATTTTCTTTAATCTTTTGTTCTAGCTGTTAGATAGTATTTTTCTAAATTATATTCTCTTCTTGTACTATTCTCCCATTGATATTTAACAGGAAACTATTAAAATATAACTAGGAAAATATTAAAATAAGAAAACCAGTAAAAAAAGCATGCAGCATTAGAATAAGTTTTAGAAAAAATCATAGAACAAAGAAAATTGAATATATTTGATAATGTTATGTGTCAAATTACGTTACATACAGAGATATCAGGTTTAATTAAATCAAGTAGAAGAGATAGAGCATCGTGTCTAAGAATAAAATCGCGCGCTTGTGGTCCATCTCCAGCTATATTTCCCAAAGCCCATACTGCTTGTTCCTTAACAAAAGGAGACACGGATTTGAGTAGTTTCACCAACTTTAGTACAGCTCCATGCTCTATAACATTTTGTGTTTGTTCGGATGTACCCGAAGCTATATTCGTTAATACCCATGCTGCTTCAAACTGCAAGCAAATGCTAGGCAGAAATAAGAAAATTATTTACATAAATACACAAATCTCATTTGTACGCATATACATACTTATGATTGCAATCCAAGAGGTCAATGCACCGTGGTACTATGCCACCTTGTATTATATCGTTAATAGGAGGATTTTTTTCTCGACTTAATAACTTTCTACAAGTCTGTGTTGCTATCAATTGTGTCGTTTCATCTGACGAGTTTATGCCAGCTACAATTTCATCTATAGAAAGTAGAGGAGTAGGCGAAACATTTTCGCCTACTTTGTTCCATAAATTTAATAAATCTTGTTCAGTGTCAAGGTTACGTCTCTTTAATAATTGATCATCTTTTTTGGCTTTACGTAGTTCCACTGATAATGCGTTTCTTCTTCTTCGAGCCTCCTAAAAGATTTATTTCGAATATATCAAATAGTTTATATATGAAGTCTTAAATCAAATAGTTAAAATATCCTTATATATATATAAAAATGAAAAATGGAAAATGAAAACGAAAATGCAAGAACATTGTTGAAATAGCAATGAGATAAAGATGTTGCTATATTATAATATTGCTATTTTAAGCCCTTTATTTATGGTACATAAATTTGAGAATAATTTTATTCGCACTCACTTCATGTTTATTGCTAAATTTAAAATCTGCCATGCGTCCATGGCTATTTTTTTCTCGTGAAGGCATCGTTTTGTCGCTGTACATAAATTGGTTGAGTGTATTGCGATTTATTTTGAATTTACAGTTGGCTCCGCTGTTTATACGATACGAGTAAAAAAAAAATTTTAATTAGAAAGATAATAATAACACAACATTAAAAAGAATTAAATGAGTCTGATAAAGTAATCTGTAATAAATCTATAACCAGAGTTTTTACGAATTTTTCATTCGTAGATAATTTGAAAACTACGTTATACGTTAGAGTATCTACGCATAATAGCTGCTGATCATTGTCATTTTCAAATTTATCTTTTTCGCAACGGTTACACGCAATAAATATCTTTCGTATGGATATTTATGACAAACAGAAAAATATAACGGCTTAATTGAATACAATTAAAATGTTACCTGTACAAAGATTGCCGAAATAAATTGAAGTCTTAAATGTATCCTTAACACTGACCAACCAAGTACGACTTTAATAGCAAGTTCGCATATAATTTTCAATACCCCTCCGTTCGTCCCTTCTTATAAAAGTATAGATATTCACGCGACTTCGCGACCTGTTGCCTGTTGCTACTGCCAGAGATGAAAAAGGAATGAGACGTTGCTATTTATTACTTTGTCCAATGAGAATCGTCAACCATTCAATATTAATTCGTGCAATTTGATTGGTGGACAATGTCCCAACGTTTATATTTCAAATTGCGAAGTGATATCTGAGATCTGATTTATATTTATTTGATACAATTTTAAAGATTTAGTACATTCCAAATTAAACATTATGCTCTGATATTACAAAACTGAAAGAAACTGTGACGTCCTAAATATGATCTGAGGGAGATAAGCGACATATCATATCTTTTATCTCTCTTTATCTCTATGCTGTTTCTTTAATATCCCTCATAGATACCGTAAAAATGCGAGACCGTGATTGGTGTTGGCGTGCTTTTATAGCGCGTCGCTAATAATCTACCGCATATCGCGAAGCTACGCGGAAATGTCCTTACAAATCGTCCGAGGAATCATAAAATCGCCAGGCGTAATTAAACACGCGGCACGGAGCGCGATTTTTCTTCGCCTGGCTCTCTCCACCGTCGCGTTTTTCGCAGGGTTCGAAAAATACCGGCCATTTATCTTCGAAGGTAAATGTCCGCCTTTTTTTCGGTAAATTATAGTTTTTGGTAGTTTTAAAACATAACGCGCTCTTTTGTGTATATATGTGTATGTATGAATGTATGTGTATATATATATGTGTGTGTGTGTGTGTGTGTGTGTGTGTGTGTGGTATCAGCCCAAAGAAATTTAATCCATGTACATATATAAGAAGTATCGATCAACTTTAATTAACGATTTTGTATTTTAATATTTAACTTGTTAAGAAAATAAATTATGTGCTTAAAGTGTGTAACTTTTTATTCAAAAATGCAATGCATTTTTAAATAATATAAAAATACAATGCGTACATACAGTACAAAAATCTTGTAGTATTAAATTCTAACAATAATAATATAAATGTTGTAAGAAATATATAATAATACAATATTTATTATTACATTTCATATCGCGATTAATTCAAGTAACGCAATGTATTACATACGTATCACATGGAATTAAGTATATCATTTGTGATATACAACAAATGCTTCATAATACATATTGTATTGTCTTGTATATATTACAGTAAATTTATAATTCTCGAGTATCTTAATATTTACCTCTTACAAGATGAATAGATTACAATTCACATGTTAGATATTACAATATGATTAAAGTGTCAGAAGGCACTGTAGAATTTAATATTTATACAACAAACTTTAATGCAGAGTAAAAAAAGACTTGATTGAAGATGAAGATTGCTTTTCTCATGTAATACAGGCTTCCACTGTCTTTTTGACAGCATCGCGAGCATATGGTATGTATGATAAGGAATACCATGTCATAGCTAATGACTGAATAATTATAAATAAGAGAGCTAAACCAGGGTTGTGCAACTGAAAACAAAAATATATTGTAAACATTTTGAAAAGGATATTAATGATAAAAAATAGAAAATACTTACGTATAAAGCTGCAACTAACGTCAAAGCAATTGAAGTAAATACTAATATAGTTGCAATCAATCTTGTTGATGCAAACATCTTCTTAAATTGATTGATCGGACCCATTAAGAAACATGTGCTGTAACACAGAAATTAACATATTGACATTTAACCTAAATAATATAAAATGACATAATTACTCACGTAATATTATCGCTGTATTAATATTAACATGGCATACAATCTGTATACTGTATAACGATGATTTGCATTTTACCTTGCTAAAGAGATAATATTGCCTAGAGTATAGAATACAGCAAATACAGCAAGGCCTTTTTGCAAAAATAGGGCAAAAGATCCAAGAAACGAACATAATATGCCTATGATGAAGCAAATTGCAAAACCTTTTATCCTAGTAGACCAACTCAATGTTGTTTGGTCCATGACCTATGTTAAGCGGAAAAAATATTAATCTTCTAAGATTTTCCATTTAAAGAAGAAAGGCAGTATCATTATATGTAATATCTGCCGATGTTGCAAGTATATAAAATATATAAACTTGTAACGATGCTTTTTCAATTTACCGTGAAATCCACATCAACCTTCCATCGTCGATCATACGTAAGCATTTAAAATGATAATTTTGATAAGTTTATAAATAAAAAAGGATTTTCATAGAGGCAAATATAATTAATGTAGCCAGTATCGTTAATCTAAAAACGTAATTACCTGTGTAATAATACCACTTTCTTCATCACATCGTTCATTACCGTTCAGAGCTCTCCTTAATTTATCCATTTTTATGCAATTTTTTTGCCCAAAACTGGAATATATATATATATATCGAGTTCATCAATTCATTAATTTATTTAATGAGTTATAAATAACGAGGTTATAAAATTGAATGAAATATTTATGCCTTTTATAGAATCTTTGGATTATATGCATACTTAACCTTTATTTATCAAGCAAATAATCTATGTACATTAATTTTTGATTGTGGAAATTACATGTGCTGTTATATATATTATATTAATAAAGTATACGTGTTTCGTGCACTTTCGTTCATGTGTTTGCTGTAACTCGAAAACACTCTTGTCAACTTCTATGAGAAAAAAATGGAAAGATTTGCATGCACTTGCGCACACATACACGCACATACACACAATCGTAAATTAGCGATATTATTAAGCGATATTAATTAGCGATAATAATTAACTAATTAATTAATATATACTAATTAATAATTGTAGTCAAATTTAATTATAATATTAATAAAATAACAGGCAGATAGGTTAGAAACTTGGCGGGCTATACAGATATACGAGAGTCTCGGTCGCCACCGCTACGTTGCGCAAAATGTGACGAAACGTACTCATATGTAAAATTTATTGAAAATTGAAAATATTTAACATGCGCAGAAACGTTTTAAATTTAAAACCTCGCTTCTCGACTCAACTGATTGTGAGCCAAGATCGAAGTGTAGTTGCTTTACTAAATCATAAACTGAAATCGCATAAAGATTTGTTTTCATTAAACTAAATAGTAAACTAAATTTTATAATCGATAGACAAGTATATACTACTATAATAAGAAATATAATTCACGATAGATTTTATATATTTGTTTATATTATATATCTTAACATATATATATATATCAGGAAATACACGAAGCATGTAAAAAATGTGATCATTGCCATTGTAAAGATATATACCAGAATGATGATTCGTACATCGAATAGAATGAGAATGAAGAATTATTGTGCAAAGTATGGACATAAATAAATTACAAAGTCACAGTATATAAACATCAAAATGAAATATACACCGCGTGTACATACTAATAAACTTATTTGCCTATTTACTAGAATCACAGTTACATTTATAATATGTGTAAGTTATTATACATCTTGTTATCGGCTCTTTACTCGTCGAGGACATATTGAGTCATTATCCTATTTACGCGTATATATTCAAATAAATTTAAATATGGATGTCAACCTATAAACTATATATATTAATATCATTCGAGACTATGACCAAGTGATATCTCTATGTCCTCGATAGCGTCGCTAGCAATAATACTATTATTGCATTTCGATAGAAACGAGGTAATCTTAATTAAACTCCGATTAAAAATAACTTTACAAGCGCGTGATAATGCATATTATATAATCGTATAGCTTAAAATTTAATACACTGTACATCACTATTATATCATGCCGAAATTAATTTGAACTTTTCAACTTGCCCTCGCAACTCGCTTGTCTTTGCCTTGCTTCGAGGATGACATTACAGTTGCGAGTGTTGAGCGAGTCCATGGTTACAATTATGATCATGAAATATTGTTGGGAAGAGGATCTAAGTTTGAACGCTGCGCACACATGCTCGTGGCACCAAACCTCTTCGATCGCCTTTCATGCACAACAACCATTTATTATCCATCTCTAATATTACTTTCAATTTCTCCCCTTCTGCGAACGAGAGCTGACCGGTATCCGACGGTATCCTGTGAGTGAGAGTGCGAACTTCTCTGCAATCGAGACGCACGAATCATTATCGTACGGATCTAAGGAAAGAGAAAAAGAAAAAAACAAGCTAAAATACAAAGCAATAAGATATAAAACATAAATAAACATATATAAACAAACATATATAATAAAAAAAATTACATTACGATCCAACTCGTATAAACAAAAAATATTTGCAATCAATACAAAAAACTCTCTAGGATGCAAAAGATAGATGATTTTAAAAAATATTAAATACTCATATAAAGCGTCAATATTTACTTATGTGAAAGTTTTGGAACTGGCGTTCTCGAAATGGCGGTAAAGGCTGGACGCGGTAAAGAGGTCGAAGCAGCTCGTCTGTGAGGTGAGGTTACATTTTTGTCATTTGATGTTATTCCATGTGATTTGTAGGGTAAGGAACTTGGACGTGCAGTTCGTGTGACGCCTAAGATATCCTGATCGACGCGACTGGTACGCCGCGTCGTATTTTTCGTTTTCGTGTCCATAGACTTCTTCGGCGTCGTTTTTGTTGTGGGAAGTATAGCGGGTTTCTTTAACGACGGAATTCCCGATATGGGTGACTTAATCATCGGTTTTCCGGTAGTATTCGCCGCAATGTTAAACTGTTTTATCGGTGATGTGAGCAACCTAGGTATCTTCGACTTCCCTACCGTTCCAAAAGTCCTAACTGGCGACGAGGGAGTCGTTACTGCAGATTGAATCTTATTGCCTTCCTTGCCAATCATAAATTCCCATTTTTCTTGAAGTTTTCTGAATCTTGTTTCTCCAGAAAGACCATCATCATCATTCGATTTAGAATCAGGATTTAATAGCTTCGATTGTTGTGGCTGCTTGTTTGCCTTTCTATTTAGAGAAGAATGTTCCAGACTGTCTGTATAATCCTCGGAATCTTCAGAAGTAAATTTATCTAATGTGTAAAACGTCTTCGAACTTAAGGCGCTAAAATGCTTTTTTGGGTTCTGAAAGTCATCTTTATGCACAACATATTTGTCATCTACGTTGTAAGCAATGCGAGATTTCGGCCGCGTCTTTTTCGGACTGAAAACCATTCCGCAGAATTCCGGTTTCTCATCCTTGAGGTCTTTCAAAGTTAAATCGGCATTTCTAAAGCTCATGGCCTATAAAATCACATCATATGAGTGGATGCAATATCAAATGTAAAAAAACTCTGATGATAAATTTTCTCAGATATACGTACATTTATAGTATGACTGTTCATATTCCCAAAGCTATTCTGTAATTGACGATATTGATAGAGAAGATCCAAATGGAATGGACAAAATGCAAGCGGATTCAAAATGTATAACAATGAATCGACAATTTCTCGGGCATTAGCATTCGCTAAAGCCGCGACGAATAAACTGTTGTTACTGTAATGTTTCCGTAAAATTGATTCACGTGTACATAGATATGCGAACCATGCATCTAGAGCTCTTAGACTGAAAAAAAACCAAGATAAATATATAAATATTTTTTATATGTTGTATGATCAAATTGAAAAATGATACAATAGATGTACATGAATTACATCATGATTTAATAAAACGATTCAACTACGAAGAGTTTATAAAAAGATCGTAAATTCTAACTTACTTCAGTAAGCCAAATACGAATGCATGGAATTTTAACATTCCTTCTGTAATAATATCTTCACCATTAATTTTTTGTACCAATTCATTCAAGGTTTTTGTAAGAGGTCCTTGTTGAGAACTAGCTTCCACGATTTGCCAAACGCTATTAGTAATTGGTCCAAAGGTAGAGTTCAAATAAGGTTTTAAACCATCTGACATAATAGTGTATAAAGCTGGACACAAGGTACTTAAACAGATTTGCGCACACTCATTTCTTTCATTATAATTAGGACGACTGTGGTTGGAGTCGGCGTTCCAATATTTTAATAAAAGATCTACTGCTCTATTTACAGACGACACCATTTCTAGAAAAAAATTAATTATATTTAAGAGTTCCGAGATATATTTTTATTTAATAATTATATTAAATAAAATATACATCCATACTTCTCTTCTCTTCAAACTCCATCAGTCTATTCTCAATCTCCTGATCCTGATTTTGATCATTTACAATGGCATTAAAATTATTTAACTGAAATTAGTAAACAGTTTTTAAATAATAAGTATACACACACAAATTGGAAGAATTATAAAAAGCTATTTGTGCTAAAATTAGCTTAATGTTTTACCTCTGCATCTAAATGCTTTTTTTTTTGGTTTACGGCAAAACTGACGGTTTTTCTCTGTGATTCTCCTATATCGGCATCTCTAATAAGCGGATCCTTATTCATTTTCAAAGCTAAAAATTTCCTTACATGCGATCTCACTTTAACTTCCGCGTTCTCGATGTCTCCATCACTTTGTGACGAAATTGCACTGTGTTTTAGATATTCCTCTAGTTGTTTTATATCGTCATCGTTATGCTGATAAACTTCCGATTCCATGTTCGTGTTATTTGTAATCTCATTTAATTTCTCTGCGATAATTATTATCAAATATTAAACAAATTTTAAATAAGTATTAAATAAGTTGTAAATAAATGTATCAACAATTTATTATCAAAATTGAGAAAAACGCCGCGCAATTTTTTTAGCCTTACCTTTAAAACATCTCTCCGCTTCTGTCTCGTCGACATCCTTCTCAGTTCCGTAGTATAACAACTGCAAATCATTGTTCATGTAGTACGGCTCTTGTAAAGACATTCTCTTGTTTATCTCTGTGGATAGTTCCTCCGATTGTTCGCCCACATCTCCCATCTCAAACATGCTATACCGTTTATTCGCCAGAATTTTGTTTTTCCGTAAAATACTTCTAGGCAACGGCGGTCGTGGTGGTACTCTACTGTTATTAAAGCCAGGTTCGTCTTCACCCTGCAACAACGATACTGATCGCCTCGGAAGAGACGGGCAAGCTTGTCTCGTTTGATTAAGCATATGTATCTTCTTGTCGTTGTTCATCAGACTAGTTTCTGAACTAATACTATCATAACGATATAAATACAACGGATTCACTGCATTGTTCAATAACGGCGGCTGATTTGTCGAAGAATCGGTTAAAATCGTCGATGAACCTCTATATCCGGAAGATGGTTGCGTCGCGGTACTGCTCGTTGACGAAGTGTTAGTCGGCACAAATTCACTGATAGGTCCAATTTTGTGACGCACTGGAGGAGACAAACAGAACAAAGGTCGTTTAACTTCCTCGTTGATATTAATATATTTTGATACTTCCGGTACATCGTGCAAAATCTTTTTGTATTCGTACGGCAAGAGAAACGTCAACGACTCCCAATCCTTTATATGTGCGAATCCACGTTGTCGCAACGCATCAATATCGTTGCATGAAAATGGTTTACTTGAATGAATGGTACGTTTCCATTCTACGTTATTTTTGTCGAACATGTGCGGCTTTAACGTTAAATTATTGATTTCAGTATCCTTAATCTTGAGAAATGACAAATCAGGTAATGTGTAATTAGGATACACAATATAAACTGGTTTCTTGTTTACTATTGTTTCTTGCAAAAAAGGCCCATGTTTTTCCTTGACCGCGGTAAAAATTAAGGAGGTTTGAATTGCATTGTCTTCCATTTCTGCATTCGCCTGTATTCCCATTGTTCTAAATATCGGTTGTTGTTTGTCCGTTAAACCGACCCAGACATTTTTCTGTTGATGCTCAAAAGGATCATTAATTATATCAAAACTTTGTTGACCGCTTGTGCAGGCTGATTTGGATACACTTTCCGAAAACTCTTCAATCGATGTGGATGACATCATTTCGACTTTATCATTTTTGTTTCGTGATGCACATTTCGGAGTGTTCAAAGTTTCTCTCTGGTTTTCCATATCACGATTATTAATCATATCACGTCTGATCCAATTGATAGAGAAATCGTTTTCGGATACGCGACGATCGCAAACATTATCTTGCCGTTGTATCTGAGTATTCGTATTGGTCACGCTGTCCTTGCTACTGTTACTACCATTATTGTCGCTGGTGGAATCCGACTGATCCAAAGTAAAACTCATTCCTTCCACACTCATGCTTTTTTGTTTCATGAAGAGCCTAACGAGACTTAGATTTTGTAGTTTTTTCGTGCAAGCGTTCTCTGTGTTGTCGAAACTTTCCGCGTTTGTCGAATAACTCATAGATCCAGAATTATGCAACCTTTGCACGAGATTATTTGATTCAGTGGAATCAACCTGCATTGAGACATTTATATTCGTTTACAAAATTACATAAAATATAATTATTACAAATAGATCATATCTATACTTACACTGAAATTAACAGGTATATTAGCATGCTGAAACTTTTGAACGCGAGAAAAATCCGGTAAGCTTTGACTTCGTTTACTCATCCTACCAAGTGTTAGACTAACAGTATTTTGTGAGATATCTGGTATCATGTTATTGTTGCCAGAAGGATGACGAGTTATTGCTTTATTCATGGAAGAATATTTCAGATTACTCCATGTCGTGTATATCTTTGAATCAGAGCATGCCATTGATAAGTCCGGTATAGTTTTCATATCTTTCTGTTTGTCATAGAATACATCTGATGATTCATATGTTTTGTGTTTATCTAAAAATAATAATGTATACTGAATAATTAATTGTAAGAGGAATGGAATAAAATAAAGTAAAAAAAAATTTTTGGTATAAGTTAAATTATGTTATAGGAAATTTTCAAAATTAATTTACATTAATCTGTCTATGCAGTGCACATATTACCATGACTTTCAAAATCTTGGGAGCCATCCGAATACATAGTCATGCTACCCTCAAAAGCAATAGTATAATTATTTTTATTATTTGTTTGACAAGTGAGCAACATGTCTTCACAGTCCAGCGAATCCACGCTATAGCTACCACCTGATGGTAGCATTGATGTTTCCTTTACTGGGGAAAATAACAACGACGACTTGCATATGGATATTGTGTCAGTGGTGGAACACGCGGAATCCTCTCCCTTTTAAATATATAATAGTATGAGATCAGTATATAAATTATGGACAAAAGAAAAAAATTAAATGTACTTCTTTCTTTATACTTCTTGTAAATATTTAGTGAATTACTTCAATTTGTATTATTACATGTATTTGCTGTTAATTAGTCTTTTTATCATTAAAAATTATTAATATTTTATTTGATTCATGTTTATTAATTTCGATATCATATGTTTGTATCCATACAAGAAAATGTAAGCAGTCTGGATGTTAGACTGTAAATATTAAATGTTATATTAAACAGTTTATACAGGGTGTCTACTTAAATCTTGTAAAAATTCCCTGATCTTCCAGATATTTTTGTTGAAAATTCCAGATGAAGAAAATATTTAGGAAATTTTTTGGTACAACTTTCTAAAAGAAGTATTTTTATAGTATGCGAAGCCTAATGCTTTTCACTCATTACAAAGAAAAAACACAGAGCCCCTAAGTTTCAAGTACTAAATATGCAATTGTACTGAAAAAAACTGAATAGCTTTCGTAAAATAAACATTTTTCATTTGCATAACATTTTCATTTTTTATCACTAAAAATTACAGTAAAGATGTACTGCATATTCAATATATTAAGAAACTGTATATA